CAGGGAAGATGCTCGCACGGCGGTGAGCGCTCGCACGCTGCGGTGCGCTCGCAGAGCCTCAACTATTGACGCACCACCGCTTGCGCGTGCGCAGGGCATCCCGACAGGACACCCCGTCGAACCCGCGCCGCAAGAAGGGGCGCAAGGGCGCGTCCGCCCCGATCGTCCGCACCAAGAGCATCGCCCCGGTCGGCGGCACAACCGGTTCGGGGCCCTGCTCGGAATGGACGGCAACGAGGGCATCCTCGGCGGCACCGGCAAGGTGCCCCGCGGCTCCACGCCGTCGACCACAGACTCGGTGCTCGCCGCCTGCATACATGCGGCCTCCTCCCCCGCTCGCCGCTCAACCGCCAGTCTCCCGCCCTCCTGTTCAGGGCGCGACGGCCAACGTCGAGACGACCACGATTATCACGCCGGAGGGCTCCGTCTCTGCCTCCGGCTGGTTCTCTTGGCCCAAGTTCTGCCCGTCCTTCTTGCTCCGCCTCTTTGGCATCCTCGCGCTGCTCTGCCTCGGAACCGCGTTTGCGCTCTCCTCGTACTCTGCCACCTCCGCGCTTCTCTCCTCGCGGTGGCACGAGTCCCCGACTTCCTTTCCCGCAGTCACAACGCCGATCGCGCCGGCATCGCTTAACGGCTTCTGCGAGATTGGCGGCGACGACACCAGCAGCTCGTTTGCAGCCATCGCCTCTCCGGACAGCGTGCCCGCCGACCACCCGGTGCTTGCTCGCTCGCGCTTGCTAGTACCCGCACCGCGCCAGCTCGTGACCCACAGCCCGCGCGCTGTTCAGGGCGGGCACGACGAGGGGCGCTCGTTGGAAGCACTGATGGACGACGTCAACGAGGCGGTGGGCGAGCCGTTGCACCTGATTGGCCAGCCGCCGGCGTCCATCATCAAGGACGTTTACGAGAAGCAGCCGGTGAGCGCCCCTCGGCTGTTTCTGTGTGCGAGCCGTTGTAGCCCGCTGACGGATTGCCTGTGTGTTTGCGTGTAGGGCGAGGCCGACTTGGAGACCGTCCTAGCCTCCCGCAACAGCACGGAGCGCAAGGGCGAGCCCGAGATTGACTTTGTCGGTCCCGTCTACAGCAACAGGACGGGGATCATCGCTCGGGGGCGCGACACCGTCCTGCCCGTGAACGACACGTCGCCCGAGTTGCGGCCCGCCGACGTTGGGAAGCCCGGGATGGTGCGGAAGCTGGTTGAGACTAGCCTCGGCGCGGGGGCCTCCTTGCTGCTCGGGCGAGCCGGCATGAAAATGACCGCCTCACTCGTCTCGCGCGAGAAGGCGACCGACGCCCTCGTCCGCATGAGCGCCGCCGCGCTGCTCGTCGGCAAAGCAGCCGCGGCTCCTCCGCCTCCCTCGCCGCCGCCCACGGTGCCTTTCCCCTCCCAACTGCTGCCGCTGCCGTCGCCGCCGCCGCCGTTGCCACCGCCTCCGCCTCCGCCGCTCTCTCCGCCAGCGCTCCCGTCGCCCGCCTCGCCGTGTTCCATCGACGGTGCCTTCGCCTTCACCGGAGACCCCGACTCATACCTCACCGCCGTTTCGCGCACGGGCCTCGTCGGCGGGGGCACTGGCTTCACCCTCTCTGCCTGGGTGTACCGCACACACACGGGCAGCTCGTGGGATCGAGTGATCGACTTTGGCAGTGGCCCCCGTGCGCACAACGTCCTCCTTGCCTTCAAAGACGGCATGGTATTGGAAGTGTGGCACGGCGCTACTCGTCCGCCGCGGCTGAGCGTGAACTCGCCCTTCCCAGTGAGCACGTGGACGCACGTCGCCGTCGTCCAGTCGCGCACCGGAGACGCCACCACCGGCCCCGTAACCATCTACTGGGACGGCGTCGAGGTGGCGTCCACCGCATCGATGAACTTCCCGCTCTTGGTGGGTCGCTCGGGGCTGTACGTCGGCAAGAGTCACTGGGGCGATCGCATGTTCATCGGCTCGATGCGCGACCTGCTCATCTGGGACATCGCGCTCACGACGGCCGAGCTCGACGCGGTGCGCCTCGGAGGCGGCGTTCCCACCTCGACGGCGCCGCTCGTGTCGATGATGCGCACGTGGTGCGGCGCAGCGCCGCCACCGCGGCCCCCGCCGCCGCCGTCGCCGCCGCCGCCGCCTCCTTCGCCGCCTCTTCTACCCGACATGGTGCAGCTGAGCTGCGGTTTCGAGGTCGACACTTGCGCCTGGAACGACACCGCGCCGGACGGGTACTCTTGGACTCGCACGAGCGGCGGCACGCCATCGGCAGACACAGGCCCGAGCAGCGGCCACACCGGCTCGGGCTCCTACATCTTCACCGAGGCCTCGTCTGGCCGCTCCAACAAGCTGCACCAGCTCGAGAGCCCGCTCTTCTCGCTCCAGCAGGACGCCAGCCTCTCCTTCGCCTACCACATGTACGGCTCGAACATGGGCACCCTCTCCATCGAGGCCAACGGCACCGAGACGGGCTGGACGACGCTCTGGAGTAGGACTGGCAACCAGGGCAATAGCTGGCTCGACGCGGCAGTGATCCTACCCGCTTCGACGACGCAGGTGCGCATCAACGGCTTGACGGGGTCGAGCTTCAGGTCGGACATGGCGCTGGACGACGTCGCCTTCTCGCAGTTTGCGCCTCCGACGCCGCCGCCGTCGCCGCCGTCCTTGCCGCCTTCTCCGCCGTCGCCGCCGCTTTCTCCGCCGCCGCCGCCGCTTTCTCCGCCGCCGTCGTCGCCCGCAGTGCCTTTCCCCCCCCAAGGCGTACTGATCCTCGACGGCAACTCCGATACGGAGGCGTGCGTCCACGACGTTGCTGCCATTGAACACGACGGGACAGCCATCGCGGCGCAGTGCTGCGACGGCTCGACCTGCAAGCGTCGCACCTCCGGCAGCAACGACGACTGCATCGCAGGGACATGGTCCTCCTCCTTCCAGTACACAACCTTCCAGGAGGCTTCGGCGCGGTGCGCTGCGCTCGGCTACACTCTGTGCGACAAGAACTGCCAGGGGCAAGGCTGCAATTACGACTCCATCTGGGTGTGGACGAGCAAGCTATGCCCGCTGCCACCGCCGCCCTCGCCGCCCTCGCCGCCCTCGCCGCCGCCGTCGCCGCCGCTTTCTCCGCCGCCGCCGCCGCCGCCGCCCTCGCCCCCTCCCCTCTTCCTCGACCAAACCCCATCCGCAGACGGCCGCCGCCGCTTCCCGCTGCCGGCCGTCCGCCCCAGCGGCACCTTTGCGTTCCCGCCGGTGCCAGACTGCTCCGCCCCCGACCGGCTTGGGTGCATTGGTGTGCCAACGACGGTCCTGCCGCCACTGGCAGCGTGGAGCGGCGCGCTAGAGCTGGCGGGCGATGTGGCCGACTACTTGGCAGAGTTTGCTCTCCCCGGAGGGCGCAGGTACACTTACTCCACCTCGGTGGCGGACGTGGACGGGGACGGGTTCATGGACATCGTGGTCGGCAACTCCAACCAAGAGAACCAGATACTGTTTGGGAGCGTGGGCGGGAGGATCTTCTCCGAGGTCGCCCTCCCCGGAGGGAGCAGGAACACTAAATCCACCTCGGTGGCGGACGTGGACGGGGACGGGTTCATGGACATCGTGGTCGGCAACTCCAACCAAGAGAACCAGATCCTGTTTGGGAGCGCGGACGGGAGGACCTTCTCCGAGGTCGCCCTCCCCGGAGGGAGCAAGGACACTTGGTCCACCTTGGTGGCGGACGTCGACGGGGACGGGTTCGTGGACATCGTGGTCGGCAACGCCAACCAAGAGAACCAGGTCCTGTTTGGGAGCGCGGACGGGCGGACCTTCTCCCAGGTCGCCCTCCCCGGAGGGAGCAAGGACACTCGGTCCACCTCGGTGGCGGACGTCGACGGGGACGGGTTCGTGGACATCGTCGTCGGCAACTGGGGCGAGAACCAGATCCTGTTTGGGAGCGCGGACGGGAGGACCTTCTCCGAGGCCGCCCTCCCCGGAGGGAGCGAGGACACTCGGTCCACCTCGGTGGCGGACGTGGACGGGGACGGGTTCATGGACATCGTGGTCGGCAACGGCGGCTACCCTAACCAAGAGACCCGTTACCAAGAGAACCAGATCCTGTTTGGGAGCGCGGACGGGAGGACCTTCTCCGAGGTCGCCCTCCCCGGAGGGAGCGAGGACACTCGGTCCACCTCGGTGGCGGACGTGGACGGGGACGGGTTCATGGACATCGTGGTCGGCAACTGGGGCGAGAACCAGATCCTGTTTGGGAGCGCGGACGGGAGGATCTTCTCCGAGGTCGCCCTCCCCGGAGGGAGCAAGGACACTTGGTCCACCTCGGTGGCGGACGTCGACGGGGACGGGTTCGTGGACATCGTGGTCGGCCACTCCATAGAGCCCAAGTTCTCGACAGGCGGCTCCAACCAAGAGAACCAGGTCCTGTTTGGGAGCGGGGGCGGGAGGACCTTCTCCGAGGTCGCCCTCGCCGGAGGGAGCAGGAGCACTGACTCCACCTCGGTGGCGGACGTGGACGGGGACGGGTTCATGGACATCGTGGTCGGCAACTCCAACCAAGAGAACCAGATCCTGTTTGGGAGCGCGGACGGGAGGACCTTCTCCGAGGTCGCCCTCCCCGGAGGGAGCAGGAGCACTGACTCCACCTCGGTGGCGGACGTGGACGGGGACGGGTTCATGGACATCGTGGTCGGCAACGCCAACCAAGAGAACCAGATCCTGTTTGGGACAGGCAATAGGACCTTCTCCGAGGTCGCCCTCCCCGGAGGGAGCAGGGACACTCGGTCCACCTCGGTGGCGGACGTGGACGGGGATGGGTTCATGGACATCGTGGTCGGCAACCACAACCGAGAGAACCAGATCCTGTTTGGGACAGGCAATAGGACCTTCTCCGAGGTCGCCCTCCCCGGAGGGAGCAGGTACACTCGGTCCACCTCGGTGGCGGACGTCGACGGGAACGGGTTCATGGACATCGTGGTTGGCAACGGCGGCTACTCCAACCAAGAGAACCAGATCCTGTTTGGGAGCTCGGACGGGAGGATCTTCTCCGAGGTCGCCCTCGCCGGAGGGAGCAGGCGCACTTACTCCACCTCGGTGGCGGACGTGGACGGGGACGGGTTCATGGACATCGTGGTCGGCAACTCCAACCAAGAGAACCAGATCCTGTTTGGGAGCGCGGACGGGAGGACCTTCTCCGAGGTCGCCCTCCCCGGAGGGAGCAAGGACACTCGGTCCACCTCGGTGGCGGACGTGGACGGGGACGGGTTCGTGGACATCGTCGTCGGCAACTCCAACAAAGAGAATCTGGTCCTCTTTGGGAGCGCGGACGGGAGGATCTTCTCCGAGGTCCCCCTCCCCGGAGGGAGCAGGAACACTCGGTCCACCTTGGTGGCGGACGTGGACGGGGACGGGTTCATGGACATCGTGGTCGGCAACTGGGGCGAGAACCAGGTCCTAGTTGGGCGCGCCTGCTCACACGGAGGTGCACAGCTCCACGGCAAGAGCTGGTGCTTCAAGTGCCCTTCCTTCATGGGACTCGCGGGCACCTCCTGCGTCGAGTGCCTCCCCGACTTTGTGCAGCAGCCCGGTGTCGGTGAGCTCTGCGCGACAGACCCCTGCCCCCTGGGCGAGCGCCCGCTCGGCAGCGACGCGTGCACCGCTTGCAAGGACAAGCCGGGCGTCTTCTACGACACCAGCGTCGCCGCGACGCGCACAGAGAGCGACCTAACCACCTGGACCCAGCCCAGCTGCGTCGAGTGCCCCACGGGCAGCTTTGCGGACGCCGTCGCCGTCGACGAGTGCTATGCTTGCCCTGCGGGCGAGTACCAGGACCTCACCGGCCAGGCCGCGTGCACGCGTTGCCCTGCTGGCCAATTCCAGGCTGAGCGTGGCCAGACGTCATGCGACTCGTGTGCCACGGGCGGGTACTGCGATGACACCGCGACACTTGGCGGCGGCTTCACGCCCTGCCGTGCGGGAACATACAACGAGAAGACGGGCAGCAGCTCACCCGACGCCTGTCAGCAGTGCCCCTCCGGAACCTCTAGCCCGACCACCGGCGCAAACAGCCGCGAGACGTGCGCGAGCTGCCGGGCCGGGACATACGGCGCCGCCTCCGGGCTGAGTGAGTGCAAGGACTGTCCTGCGGGCCGCTACCAGAACGACACGGGCGCGACGTCCTGCCGCGACTGCGAGCAGGGAAGCTACTGCGCCAAGGGCGCGGCGGCGCCGCTGCCGTGCAAGGCAGGCACTTTCTCTACCGCCACGGACCTCACCGCCGCGGGCGAGTGCACCGACGCCTCGCCGGGCCACTTCGCCACCACGGGCTCGACGCAGCAGACGGCGTGCGCCAAGGGGTCGTACACGAACGAGACCAAGCAGGACGAGTGCACGCCCTGTTCCGGCGGCACGTACCAGGACGCGGAGGCGCAGACGGCGTGCAAGCCGTGTGAGGCGGGCGGCTACTGCGCTGTTGGCGCGGCGGCGCCGCTGCCGTGCGAGGCTGGCAGCTACTCGAGCGCCACCAACCTCTCCGCCGCGGGCGAGTGCACCGACGCCTCGCCGGGCCACTTCGCCACCACCGGCTCGACGCAGCAGACGCCGTGCTCGCCTGGCACCTTTGCCGCAACCGAGCGGCAGCCCGAATGCGAGCCTTGCCCTCCCGGCACCTCGTCGAACCAAGGGAGCGACTCGTGCGATTCGTGTGAGGCTGGCTCTTACGCCGCCAACGCTGGCCAGGGCCAGTGCATCCCATGTCCTCATCCCCTCGGTAGTGGGCGCGGCGACGTCATCTGCTCCGTCTGCATGAAGGACTACTACCTGCTCTCGAGCGCCGACCCCCACGACATCTTCAAATCCCCGACCGAGTTCTGCAAGCCCTGCCCGCCGAACGCCGACTGCCCACTCAACACGACTCTCGAGTCCCTCGGTATCCCGGCCGGCTTCTGGCGCGCCAGCCCCTTCAGCGCCGTGCTGACAGAGTGCGGCAGCTTTGGCGGCGATGGCGAGGCCGGCGAGCAGCGATGCGCCGGCAGCGAGGCAGAGGCCTCTCGTCGCCGGAGGACGGAGGAGGTGCGCTCTTCGGAGTGCGCTTCCGGCTTCACTGGCCCGGAGTGCCAGCTCTGCGTCACAGCGAACCACTACCTCGTCGACGGATACACGTGCAAAGAATGCGCGCCGCGCGCCGCTGCGGCCGGCAGCATTGTCGCCCTCGTCATCTCTGTCTGCATTGCCTGCGGCCTGGCGGCTTGGGCCTACAGCAAGACGGAATGGCGAAAGGAGCGCTACATCGGCCGCCTACTCCGCTTTGCCGATCGTGCCTTCTACATTTACGTTGCGATCGGCCTCACGGCCAAGACCAAGGTGCTCTTTGGTTTCTACCAGATCTGCACCGTGTTGTCCTCCACCTACTCGGCGCGGCTGCCGCCAGAATATACGGGCTGGACCGACAAACTGGCCAATACGGTCTCAATCGACTGGACGGGCTACTTCTTGCCGCAGCAGTGCCTCGGCTACGATTTGCGGCTGCTCGCCATTGCTCTCTCGCCCGTCGCCCTCATTGCACTGCTCATGGGAACGGGAATCGCGCTGCGGCTCCGCCGCTGGCGTGCCGCGCCGCCACCGCGCCCAATGGAAGCATCGATGCCGGGAGCCGACACCGATGCAGCATTCGGCGTCGTGGAAGCACCGATGTCGATGATGTCGGCGATCGCTGACGCGATAAACACAGACGAGGACGCTCCGCGTGCGACGCCGTGGTATGCGGAGGCGGCCCTCGGCGTCCTCGATCTCACTCCGACCGGCTTGGTGCTCATCTTCTGCTTCGTGCCCTCCATCAGCGCCTCCATCTTCCGCTCCTGGTCATGCAAGGCCCCCCTAAAACGTTGATTGCTGCTGCATGAACCCGACCCCCCCTTCAGCGCTCGCCGTGTGTCGCTCATAGGCCTACACCGTCTCTCCGCCGAACGAGCGCCTGGAGCAGGTCTCCTACGTGCGGCTGGACGCGAGCATCGAGTGCGGTACCGACGAGCACGGATCAGTCACCGAGCTCGCCTTCGGCCTGATCGCCCTGTGGCCTGCGGGCTCTCTGATCCTCTTCACTTCGCTCCTCGTCGCTTGCTACAAGCCGCTGCGGGCCAAGAGGCCGAATGCTCTGACGCGGGCCACCGCCTTCCTTCACCGGGAGTACAAAAAGACCTGGTACTGGTGGGAGGCGGTCGAGCTGGCACGCAAGCTCGTGCTCACGGGCTTCGTGCTGCTGATCCCGGAGGAGCGAGCTTTTGTTCGCCTCGTGGTGGCGACCCTCATCTGCTCCTTCTACGCCGTCGTGCTCGCCGTCGTGCGGCCCTTCAAGCGGGTCGAGGATAATGTGCTGGCTGTTGCCACTAGCCTGGTGCTCCTCCTCCTCTTCCTCGCCACGAACTGGACGACCACCTTCATCGGCATCGTGGAGCGCACCAGCGTCGACGATGCCGATGCAGTCCTCGGCTTCGATAACCTGTCCGGCATCATCAACTCGATGCTCGTCCTCGTCGGCGCGACGCTGGTCTTCTTCCTCATCGGCGCCGTCTTCTCCGCCCGCCACGCCAAGAAGGCTCCCACGATCCGCCTCGTCTCGACCAACCAGCCGCCCGAGCTGAGCATCGGGATGGGTCTCACGTGGCACCTCTTCAACAGCCACATCTGGAGTACCGGTCAAGACGCCGTCGCGGTCATCAAGGCTGAGCTCCAGCAGCTGCTGCCGGGCATCAAGATCTTCCTCGACGCGCGCGCATCTTGCCCAGTCGCGCTGCACGGCGAGCAAAGCGCCTTTGACCCACCCGTCGTTGCGCACAGGTGGATGATCTAAAAGACATTGGGGCACTCGAGGAGTACATCCAGCGCTCGCAGGTCATCCTCTTCTTCCTCTCGAGGGGCTACTTCAAGTCCAGGGCGCGTGATGCTTCTCTCCTGTCTCTGTCATAGCCCAAGCTCCCTTGCCTCACCCCGTGCCCGCTTGTGCGCCAACAGAACTGCCTTCGAGAGGTTCGCTCGTCGCTCGAAATGCACAAGCCGCTCGTCCTCGTCCAAGAGGCCGACCCGGCCAAGGGCGGCGGGACGCTACCAGCGCTGCGCGCAGAGTGCCCCGAGGAGCTCCAGCCCGACATCTTTGACAATGACTGGAGGCACACCATCTGGTACCGGATCCAGGAGTTTCAGCTCGTCTCGCTCAAGATCACCGCCGAGGCGCTGCTCCTTTGTTCGCCCAACTTTCTTGGAAGCACCTCCCTTCCGCTCACAGTGACGGGCGAGCTGCGGATCAGGGCATTCGGCTTCTCCACGTTCGCAAAGGTCTGGGCCTCTCCGGCCAACGCCGGCGCGAGGGAGCTGGCCGAGGAGCTCGTCGCCGCCTTTCCCGGCCTCACCGTCTCCACCGCCGAGGAGGCCGGCGACGCGACCCACATGCTGCTCTACCTCAACGAGCACAGCTTCAGCGACGAGCGGCTGGCCGAGCAGGTTACGCAGGCGCGCCAGGACAGGCTGCCGATCGTCATGGCGCACGAGAACGACCCGGACCTCGGCGGCTGCGAGTTCTCCAAGTTTTTCGAGACCACGCCGCAGGTGGAGAGCGAATGCTCATAGTGACACCCGTCCTAAGTGCCCCCTCCCCCCACAATCCTCTACTTCCAACGCCGCAGGAGCTCATCGCGGGCGGGCTCTACAAGGACCTCGCGCGCTCGTGCTTCCCCGGGCGCCACCGCGAGGCGCGCGCTCGCCCCCTCGCCGCCTGGTGGGCGCTCACCGGGCGGCGTCGCACGCCGCGCTGCTCAACCCGTCTCCCGCAACCCTCTCCCGTAGGTGTCGCTCGTGCTCCTCGCAAAGGGTCTCGGCGCGACTCCGGTCAAGTCGAGCGCCGACCTCCGATCGAGCATCGTGCGCCGCACGTCAACGGCTTTCCGCAGCTTTGGCGGCTTCCGCGCCGCAGAGCGTTCAACCTCGGGAGAAGCCGAGGCAGTGGCGTCGGCGTCGGCGGCGTCGGCATCGACGTCGGCATCGGCGGAGCACGTGTAGAGCGGCGTTGAGAGCGTGGCATCTGCTACGTCATGGAGCGCCAGTGGGGCTGCGGGAGCCGCGTCTCCCACGAATCGACGGCGCAGCCGCAAACTAGTCGGGAACAGTAATGGACGTTGAGTCGTCACTTGACCGTATCCATGACGTGGACGACACGGTCCTGTGCTCATTACCAGGATGCCAGAGGGGCACGGCCCGGTGAACGCGCTCATTGCGTGAGGGCCTAGTCGGAATGCGAATTTGGGGGGGAGGGCGAGCGACCCGGGGAGTACTGGCACGTCTCACGTCTGTCTGAGTCTGAGAGTCAGGGGGGTTCCTCGCGACTGGTCCAGTCCTAGGTGGCATGGATGACGCTGTGTGACTGCTGAGTGTTGTTCTTCCGTGTTGTTGCGGGGGGGGGGGGGGGAAGAAAGAAAACAGACATCCTGCCGCCGTCCTTTGCCGTCCGTGGTCCGTCCGCCTCCCATGGTGCCGTCCGCGCGCGCCCGTCGGGCCCAACACAGTTCTTCAGCGCTGCAGGAAGATAAAGAAAGAAAACAGACAGCCCAAGGGAGGGATGGGAGGACGGCACGCCGCCAGGATTTTACCTAGCGGCAGCACGATTTCTTTCATTACGGCTGGGCTGAGACGTCACAGTCCTGAGCGAAGTGAGTCGTCTCACTTCCTTCTGAGACAGTGCTGAGCCACAATGAGACGCGGCGCAGGGCGGGAGCCGCTGCTTGATTGAGTCGTCTCATAGGTCCGTTAGAGACCATGTGCTGAGCCCCTGAGCCGTGGCGATTGAGGAGACTCAACTCAGGTTGTGTCTGAGGTGCGGCCTGGCGGGTCTCTGTGAGTGTAGACGAACCCGAAGCATAATCGCGCTCTATCTATGGCTCAAACGGCGCGAGCCGCCAGTTGCTCTTATCATGCTCTCAGACGCAAAAGGCGCGTAGCCGGTTGCTCTCGCGGGCAGGGCGGTTCGGGTTAGTGCCCAGCACTACGCTCTCGCCCTCTGTTCGTCACGGCTACGCCCTCGGCTCGATGAGTACTTTGCACCGACCGCTCTTGAGGTGCGGCGTGTCGGACGATCCCAACATAATCGCGCTCATATCGCGCTCCCTGGCCCAAACGGCGCGTAGCCGGTTGCTCTCGTGGGCAGGGCGGTTCGGGTTAGTGCCCAGCACTACGCTCTCGCCCTCTGTTCGTCGCGGCTACGCCCTCAGCTTGATGGGTACTTAAAGCACGCATCGCGACAGTGCAGTGCGGCAGCCGGCAAGGCCCGAACGGTTTACCGTCGCGTTGGAGTTTTGAGCGCGTGTGCGCGCGTGTATGTGTAGAGTCTTCATTACTACTCGACGTACTGCGCAATACACACTCTGAGACGCCGTCGGGTCATCGCGCTCTCAAACGCAAACGGCGCGTAGCCGGTTGCTCTCGCGGGTAGGGCGGTTACTTGGGCGGTTCGGGTTAGTGCCCACCACTACGCTCTCGCCCTCTGTTCGTCGCGGCTACGCCCTCGGCTCGATAAGTACTTTATCGTCGAGCCGACCGCTCTGTCCTCTGTGAGGTGAGACGAGTGAGACGCTCTGAGATGAAATGACGAGACGCATCGTCACACAGTAGAGACGCATCGTCACACAGCAGGAGTGAACATTTGTCTCACGGAGGTGTCTCAAACACGTCTCTGAAGGTGGACTGTGCCACCCTTGAGACAAAGTGAGACTGTTGCTGTGACCACAGGCTGAGACAACACAGAGATCGGTGCGAGTTTGTGAGACATTATTGAGACGCATTTGTGACACTGCCCCGGGGGGCGTTGAGACAGGGACGAAACGCCCGTGAGACAGGGACGTCTCACCTATGTTGCTGCATGCTCCTCTTGCGGTCTTGGTTTCAAAACACTGTTCGCCCCTGCGTGACCCCCGCACACACCGGGGCAGCGGCATTTCCAGCAGGTATATACGGGCGGAGAGAATCACGCCGGTCCCACGCCGCACTGCATAGTTCTCGCGCCCCCCCCCCCACCACGCTGGGCCACTGCCCACACTCGAGCACAAAATGTGATCAACACCGCGCTCATCAGATGCCGACGCGCCATATCTCCGGCGGGCCGGAATCGCGCGGACTCGTGGCTGCGCGCTTGTGCTCGTGCCGGAGGTGTGTCGCCGCGAGCGACAAATCTGCGGACGGGCAGAATGGATGCTGCGCAAAGCCGGCGGAGCGAGGCCGCCCCTCCGCCTCAGCGGGCTGCCTGCGCTGCGCGGGCTGCGCCGACGCCGGCCGCGAGGCCATGCGCTCGCCCACGCTCGCGAGCGCAGTCAGCTTGCGCGCCGCGCGGGCAAACTCGTCGAACCGCACGCTGCCCGAACCGTTTGCGTCCATCTGTCGGAAGATGGCCAGCTCGTCCGCCGCGCTGCCGCGCAGACCTAGTTGTGTATGAACACAGGCTGAGGGAGGGAAACGGCGCAATAACGTTCCCACCATCGCGCGAAGGGCAACAAATACGGTGCATCGGCCGTAGTACAGCTAAACACAGCCGAAACAGCCAAAAGTGCTCTCGCGTGCTAGTTGCAATATGCAGGGATGTAGACTCGCATCTAGCTGCGCAAGCCCACGGCGGAGAGTGCGGCAGAGAGCTCGCGCCTCGAGAGCTTGCCGTCGCCGTCCGCGTCCGCCACACCGAAGGAGCGGCGCAGCCTCTCTTCAAACTCGCCTGATTTGAATATTAAACAGCTTGGTCGCGAAGTAAACTAATCTGGAGCCGCCTCTGCTCGAGGTCGCCGCGCGCTGCCGAGCCGTTCTCTGCGCGAGGAGTCGCCGGCGGCGACGGCGCCGCGTCTGGCCGCGGAGGCACCGTGCTCGGCTTCGCTGTCGCGGCGACGCCATTTGTGGCTCCGCGCCGCGCGGGTGCTGCCTCGCGCCGCGGCGGCGAATGCGGCGGTAAGCGATCCCACCACCACACGGTGACGAGGAGCACTCCTCGCTCCGCCTTGCCGTCGGCGAGCGGAAGTTGAAGCTCTGCCTGGCCTAGGAGTACAGGAGCCGAAAGTGAGAGCACGGTAGCCTCCATAATCAAGACGGCGAAGACAGCGGATAACGACGAAAACAGCGGGACATTGGAATGTGTACTCCACATCTAGGCCACCGCGCCGCTCGTCCGCAACGCCGCCTCCAGCGCCGCTCGCAGCGATTGCGCCTTCAGCTCGGCGCGGAGCAGCTCGACTGGCGCCTAACCTCGGGTGATCTCAGGTGATCTCGGATGTGCCTCGGGCCAGTCGCCGCGCGGAGAGCTCGAGGTGCCGGATCGAGGACGGAGCGTGCCTTCCGCTCAGGCTGGGCGACGAGCCGGAGGACGAGGCTGCGGTCGAGGGGGATCCGAACCGCCCAATTTACGCCGGTACGCGCCGTGGCGAGGGAGAGGGAGTCGGAGCGGGGCGCATCGCCGCGAGGCTCGCCTACGCGGAGGATCGTCGGTTTTGTCGAGACTCGTCGACATTCTCCGACATTCGCCTCGCCCACGGGCTCGCCAAGCGACAGGAAGGCGGTGGCGTGCGGCAGCGGCGCGGGCAGCTGCAGCTCCCGCACCGTCAGCAACGCGTGAGCGGCGTCCGCCGGCTCGGGTTGCTCCCGGCCTCGCCCCTCGAGGGCAGTTAGGGCCGAAGCGAGGCGCAGGAAGGCCGGCCAGTCCACGCGGCGAGTCGCTTGCAGCGGAGCGCCGAGCAGCTGCTGCAGCGCCTGCGGGGTCGCCTCGAGGCCGGCGGCCGCCAGCGCCCGCGGCAGCGCCGGCTCGGCGATCGCCCCGAAAGCGCTGTCGTCGAACTCCGCAAAGGCACGCGCGAGGCTGGCGCGGATTTCGACGGAGAGCGGGGCGCGGGGCGGTTCATGTGCATGTATGACCCGGTCAGAGGTAGCGGTGGCGCTGGTGGTGGCGCCGGCGGAGTGGCGGGCGCGCATGCGGTGCGCCGCCTCGACCACCTCGCAGAAGCTCATCTCCAGGTGGCCTGTTCACAGCATTTGGTGTGAAGAGACACGGCTCACAGCTTGCGGAAGGCTCATCTCCCGGGTGGCCAAGCTCGTCGCCCGGCGTCGGCAGCGAGCCCGCGCCAGGCACCTGAGCTCGCCGCAGGATGCGCTCGAGGGCGCGCAGCGGGACGACATCGGATCCGGGGCGGCACTCGGCCGCGAAAGCGGTGGCGAGCATCGCCCGCTGCAGTGCGGCGCGGCTCGCCAACGCTGCCGACGCCTCGCCGCCGCGCTGCGCTGCCGGGGCGGTCTCTGTAGCAGGCGTCGGCGGTGGGCTTGGCCGGCTGGCGGCGCGGCCGGCGCGGCCAGCCGGGCGTGCCGCGACGCCCGCCACCTTTGCCCTCGGCGTCGAGGGGCGGCGCGCGGATGCGCCCGCCAGAGCAGAGCCAGCCGGAACGCTCCCGTGGACTCGGCCGCCGCGTGGCCCGGTCGGTGCCCTGTGCTCGCCGGCGGCTCTGCCACGCGATTGCAGCTTGCCTTGGTCAGCGTGTCCGGCGCTGCTGGAGGCGAGGAGAGAAGAGGCGGTCGCGAGGAGGCTGAGGGATT